AGAGTGGCTATACTGGGTCAGAACGGTGGTCCATCTCGCCCACTGCCCCATCTTCCAGCAATGGCCAATGCCAGATCTTTCAGAGGGACTGAAAAACCAAGGCAGTTATCAAGTGATCCATCCCATTGTCTGGTCCAGCATCTGGTCTTTAGAGGTTTAAGGACACCCAAGCATGGGGTTGCATCCTTGGACCTCTCCTCTATAAAATTCTCTAATTCTGTTTTGAACCCTGTTATAGTCTTGGTCCACAGGCTGTGTCTGTGCATTGTGAGGATTTGTGTTTGATTTAAACCTGCTGCCTAGTCATTTAATTGGTGACCCCCTCGTTCTTATGCAAAGGGGTAAATAACACTTCCATGTTCACTCCCTCCACACCATTCGCAGTCGTAGAGGCCTCGGTCATATCCCCATTACCCGTCTCTTTTCCAAGCTGACCAGTCCCCAGCTGGTTTTATCTCCTTATTCACATTATGGCCCTTTTCTGAACCATTCCATTGCTAATATCTCTGTTTTGAGATGGGGGATTAGAAGTGTGCGCACTATTCATGGCGTGGGCGCACCCTGGATTTATACAGTGGCATGATGATCTGTGTTGTCTTATTATCTAACCCTTTCCTAATGGTCTCGAACATTCTACTTGCTTTTTTGAGTGCTGCTTTACATTGGGCGGATGGTTTCAAAGAATTAGACTTGATGGCTTCAAGATCTCTCTTGAGCGGTAACGGCTAATTTAGATCCCATGGTTGTGTGTGCACAGTTAGCATTGTTTTCAAAATGTGCATTTATCAACACTGAATTTAATCTGCCATTTTGTTGTTCAGTCACCCAGTTTTGTGAGATCCCTTTGCAACTCTTCAGTCTGCTTTGGACTTACCTCTTGTGAGCAGTTTTGTGTTCTCTGTAGACTTTGCCACTTCACTGTTTCCCCGCTTTTCCAGATCACAGCACTGGTCCCATTACAGGTTCCTGGGGGTGCGTCTACATAGCACCCGAAACTCGAAATAAGGGACGCAAATTGCGTAGCTCATTTTGTCATTTGGTGCTGTCTACACAATGCCAAATTTCGACATACAGTGCTATTTCGAGCCACCCCTTACTCCTCGTACGATGAGGTTTACAGGGATGGTGAAATAGCGCGTCCGCTTTATTTTGAAACAGCAGACACGTTCAAAAGACCTCTGGTATCCCGAAATAACTTTGCTGTGTAGACATACCTTGGGAGACCCCAGTTTTTACCTCTCTCCATTCTGAAAACTGACTTTTTATTCCTACCCTTTGTTTCCTGTCTTTTAACCAGTTACCAATCCACAAGATGGCCTTCCCTCTTTACCCATGACTGGTTGGCTTTCTTAAGAGCCTTTGGTGACGGACCTCATCAAAAGCTTTCCCAAAGTCCAAGAACACTATATTCACTAGATCGTGCTTATCCATATGTTTGTTATCCCCTCGGAGAAGTCTGATAGATTGGCGAGGCATGATTTGCCTTTACAAAAGCCATGTTGATTCTTCCCAACAAATTGTGTTCATCTGTGTCTTTGCTGGCTTTAAAATAGTATCACTGCATTGCAGTCGTCATAAACAATTACTTTTGTGGCAGCTGGATTTTAGTGCACATTCCTGTTGGTAGGTCAGAAGAGACGGAGCATCAGTGGTAAACAATTAAAAGCAATCAATTGCTGCTGGCAAACAACAGGGCTGTTGTCCCCTTTTCTGCTCTCTGAAGCACATTTTAGTTCAAATCACACTCCAGGGACCAAATACAAAACCCGCCCCCAACGCCCTGAACTATTTGAGTCTCTCGTTTTCCTTCCTTCGCGGAGTGTGTAATCCATGACAAAAAGCTCCTCTTGCTTACCCGGGAGATGTCTCCCTGTATCAGCTTTCTAACTGTTGTGTGGGCTCCTGCTAGCATCTCGAAACTCTGGACGTGCATTACAGACTCCGGCTTGGCAGCATCTTTGCTGGCGGTTGTGACGGTAAGCCCTGTCCGCTGTGTAAACGGCATCGTCTGACCAAGAAGAACTGTGACCACAGTGCAGCTGGCTTAGCCCCCCCTTCCCCCCCCCCCGTGTTAAAGGGAGTCTGCTGGCTCAGGCTGCAGTTTTTTTTCACTTAGCACCCTTTGGAAATCCTGGGCTTAGCCTAGACCCAGCCTTTGGGGAGTTTCAAAACTTGATGTAATTAAAAGCACTTTAATCAGGGGCATTAACGGTCCAACCATCCCTTGGATAAATTAGGGCTGTGAATGTTTAGCCATAATGGGTGTGGGCTATGGTTAATCAGTGGGGGCTGGAGGAGCCCCCCCCCCCAGGCTCCAGGCATGCTGTGGGCAGGGATGCTCCAGCCCAGATGGAACAGCCCCCATCTGTGGTGGTTGGGGGGGGACACTCCAGCACAGCCTCCCCCCTGCTCGCCCAGTTTTATTGGTCAGCCAGTTAAACATAACGTTTAACCAGTTAACTGATTAAACAGGATTTGACATCCCTAGTGTAGATATCTTTAGGCTGAGGAAGGAGATCAGATCAGATGCTCTTCCCTCTGTCCAGCTTTGCAATTACAGAATCGAAATGCAGGGTTCCCGAGGAAAGGCTAGAGACTTTTCTATTTCTCCAGGCATGAAAATAGTGCGATTAAAACATACATTTTCCAGGGTCCTGTCTCCATTAGAGTCTCCTCATGGCTGTAGCGTTAAATCCGTGAGAAGTGCTATGTACTCTTATTCGGAATCTCCTAAGTTCATAGTTTACTGGCTGAGCTGCATCAGCTGGTGCTAAAGACCATGCCAATGGGAATGTCTCACCACAGTAGTACGATACAACTGGTGAAAGCATTTCCCTCGCTGTTGTGCTAAAGCACATCAGTCACCACAGCAGGATAACCAGAATTCACCAGGAAGCAGTGTTGAGAACTTTGGGATACATTCACAAAGGCCAAAGTGCCGCATTCACGTGGCTGCAGGGTAAAACCTTCCACTAGTACAACACTGAGGCTACGTCTACACTGGCGTGATCGTGCGCAAAAACTCTTTAGCGCAAGAGTTCTTGTGTTAAAGTAGTTATGTAAGAGAGAGTCTACACTGGCATGTGCTTTTGCGCAAGAGCATCCTTGTCAGTGTAGACGCTCTCTTGCGCAAGAGAGCTCTGACGGCCATTTAACCATAGGACATTCTTGCGCAAGAAATTCATGTTGCCTGTTTACACTAGCCTCTCGCACAAGAACAGTTGCGGAAAATGGCTTATTCCTGAGCGGCAGCGGCAGCGGCAGAGTTCTGACGCAAGAAGCCCTGATTTCATACATTAGAACATCAGTTTACTTGCGCAAGAACACATGGACGGTGTAGACAGGCAGCAAGTTTTTATGCAAGAGCGGCTGCTTTTGCACAAGATCGCGCCAGTGTAGACACAGCCTCATGAGTGTGTCTAGACTTAATGGGAATTAGAACGGTCGGGTTGACGCTGATTAATATGACACCAATGGTTCTCTAAGGCAGATAGTGCCTAAGACATTTCCAAATTAGTTTCAAAACCCAGACCTATGTTGTGTTATCCATAACATTTTCCAAACTGGCTACATTTTCCTCTTGCAACACTGAAACAGGCATTTCTCCTACCTAAATTGGAATCAACTAATTAGAAATTAAGCATGGTGGGAAGAATTCTTGTTGCTCCAAAAATTAGCAGTATACTCCAGCTCAGAAGCTATTGTATGAATCTCAAAGAGTCTAATTCCAGTATTAATCTTGTAACGGTAATGCTGCCTAAAAGAACAAATTGCTATTTTTACTCGTGTAATCATCGATCTAATTTTGAGAGGTGGACTCTGAACAAAAGCAGGGTCTTACACTTTTTCAATATGTGCCATTTTTCATATTTTTACTACATACTTCCTAAGCTTTTATAGGTGGTTTTGCTATATCTACAGAGGATGAAGTAGAAGCATTTTTTTCCCTGATCATCTGTGCTTTGTGACGGTCTGATCTTAAATTGCAAATGGGTCAGGGCTGATTTCTGACAGTATTTCAGGAAAAAAAAGTATTTCATTTCTTCCCCCTCTGGGAGTTTTTTTAATCAGTTTGTGTAAAATTTATTTTCGCCTAGTACTCTTGCCTAGAGACAATTCACATTTAGAGGTGAATGTTCTCAAATAGTGTATTTTTTACAAAGTAAATGTTTCAGTTCTAATGTGTGTGTAACTAATTTTAAAAAGTTGTAGTCAGACTATGCTGGACAGTTTCTGTAGCTGCATTTGAGAGATCTCAAGGATTACTTAGTCATTGATTATCTATTTAGTGTGGTGGAGAGAAGAAATACTCTGTTGGGTAATACCAGCCAGTCTATAAATCAGGTACATACCTTGTCTTAACCATTGACACTCTTCTCCATTATGTGTTCCCTAGACTTTACTGGTGTTACTGGTAATAAGCTAATACACAGACATAGGTCAGTGTGGAAAATTGTATGCACAAAACACCCTAAATCCTCATTCTTTCTAAAATGGCTTTACATATTTAAATACCTGATTATGGCTTTGTTACTAGCCATACCTACAGAAAAAGCATTACATTAGGCATTAGCTCAGTGTTCTGGGTGAGCTTTCTAGGTAATCTTTGTGAGAAATGTTCTCAATTTTACCAGCTGTACCAGCTTAGTTCACTTTTTTCCTGTAATAAAAATCTGGAAAATACATGCTTGTCATTTTGAGATGTTTGCTGTTTGACTGAATCAGCAGGTTTGAAACGGCTGGGCGCACACAGAAGAGTAGCTGGCATAGTTATGAGGGAAGGGGCATCAGCACTATTAATGGCTGAGGGCTGGTGTTTTGAGCCAGAGCCAACACAAAGGTCCACCCTCCTGTATATCACAGAGCTTCAGATCCATTTGGGTTTTTTTCTTCTCAGGCAAAACGCCCTTGGCTGCAGTGCAATACCTCCAGCAGAATGTTGCTGTCAACACTGAAGGTCACCATGACTATTAGAAGGAACTAATGATGTTCTGGAATTGACAAAAATCCTAGAACCAAGGCCATTTTTGAGGAGACTGACTCTCCTGTGGTCTGGGCATGGGCAGACTCAAATGTCAAGGTATTTTAACGTTTGACTGGCTAAGGCTAAATAGGCTTTATGCAACAGAGGTGGGATTGGAGTTGAGATATGCTGACTCCTGGCCCCTTCCTGCTGGGGCAACCAGCATGGTTGTGTTATGTTTCTGCCAGTGGCTCTAGTCCCTTCTTTAGCAATTGGCCTATGTCCAAAGCTTCACTGTAAAAGCAGGAAGAAACTGAGGTAGGCAGGGCAAGTTACAAATGAAACGTGCATGACTCCTCTCCTAGAATGTTTTCAGGACTGGCCTAGTGGGGATGAGGGACATTCTGAAAGGCTGTGTTTAGTGACCATCAAACCCCTGACTGCATAGCACCACCTACCAAAGTAAAATCACTCTCCTTAAGCTAAATTATCCCAATTACCGGTAGGAACAATCCCTTGCAAAGTGAATAATGCTGCTACATTGCTATTATGTATCCAATTGGCCTTGTGGTCTTTGATTGGAAATCGTTTGCCACACCAATTCCTCCTGCCCCATGGTACTTGGTAGCTCCGGTACAACCGAGAGCCTAGGTAACCCCCAGCATGTGGCATCTGTCTCTGGATGAGGCGGCGGGAGGGATACGTTTTGCATAGCCGAGCGGTGCACCTGCTGCAGGGTGGGGAGCAGCAAGCAGCCTGCGGGGGCTGGATCACACCCCAGCGATGGAGGTAGCTGCGTGTGGCGGGCAGGACGGAGCCTTGCTGATGCCTGTCAAGCCCACAGCACCCTTGACTCCAGTGCGTTGGGGGTGGGGAGCAGCAAGCAGCCTGCGGGGGCTGGATCACACCCCAGCGATGGAGGTAGCTGCGTGTGGCGGGCAGGACGGAGCCTTGCTGATGCCTGTCAAGCCCACAGCACCCTTGACTCCAGTGCGTTGGCTGCTCCCCAGCAGCCTGGCCCTGCACCTCGCTGCTCCTGCCAAGGGCCCAGCAGGAGGGAAGAGTCGGGGAGAGGC